TACTTCCACTGAAATGTAAATCAGCCCAGTAGTGTTCTGCTACTTACAAAGGCATCTATTTGAGGCATTATTTGAGCAGCAAGGAACATTATCTTTTACCATATTATTGAACTTTTATCCAGATAAAATCGTTATTTGTAGTCTGATATTTCAGTTTCCATGTTGCTACTGCTAGTTTGCAATGGTTAAGGGAAACTGTAACAGCACTTTAACATTCACCTTGGCACATATTCCAGATAAATGGGTTCTGGCTGTGCAGAAATTAAGACTAATCTGCTGGATGATTTCCACCAAGGAACAGACTTCTTGAAGTTTTTCTATCTCAGAGATAGCAGAGAGGAAGTCTGATGCATAAACTTTTTACTAGCCACTCAGGAGAACCTTATCACAGTTTACAAGCTGAATACAACTTGCCATATTATAACTTTCTTTAATGTGCATTTAATCTTATTTTACGATACATTATTATAAACAAATTTTCTTAATACAAGTCTATTAAAATCTTCACGAATGGATTCTGAAAATATTTAAGTGAGATACATAATGCTAAAGGTATATTTAACATGAGAAGATTTACATAATGCTCCCTTTAATGGTCAGAGGGTCTACTGAACATCTTTACCATGAGTTAAAGCTCAACTCATTCCAGCATTCACTGGTCTTCCTTGGGATGTAAGGTGACATACAAAAGCTGCTATGAGGTGGGTGGTCTGAAGAAGGACACTTTGCTGGATTACTATCTTGCCTGCTTTGAAGAATAAACTGAACTCCACTTTGAGGATGAAGCTTCCACATTATTGTCACTGTCACGTCAAATTTTAACTCCTAAATACATACCCTGTGTGGCTGGTGTGCAGATGCAGGGAAATCTTCTAGTGCAGCTGTCTGTAGGCTTTGCTAAAGACAGTGCATGCTGCTCTGTAATACACTGTCAAAGCCTGTTTATCTGCTGTGCATATTGCTGCAGGTCAGCAGGTGCTTCACCTCTGCTTTTATTCATGCAAATCTCTTATGCTTCCCATAACTTTAAAATGTGCAGCTACCAAGCTATGTATGATGCCACTTATTAGCAATTCTTTGTCATGTATCAATTTCTGTTTCTAACATTAGTTCTGATCTGTTTTGAGATATCTTCATCTTCTTAGATGCGTAACACTCAAGTCTGACCCAAACTCTAGCTAAAAAAAAAAAACAAACCAACTAAATACTGTTTTTGTATTTTCTATGCACTTCAAGGAAACAAGATAACTGCTTGAGTACATGCACAGGTAGAAAGAACCAGAACTGGATATGGTGTTTTGTCTGTATTTCTGATGTATTAATAGAAGTGCATTAACTCCCTCCTGTGTTAACTTTAAGGTCCTGGCTACCTGTAGTTACTAAATTAAATTTGAAAATTAGTTTTTCAAAATTCATAAAAATACAATTTCTTTTTAACTGAAATTAAAAAAATAAGTAATTCAGACTTTATTCCAGTATAGCTATTACCCTTCTCCTATTGGTGTTAGATAGATATATATTAGCATGCACAAATCAAGAAAATTAAATGCACATATTTGGGCAAGACGCACCTATGACCATATAGGACTGAGGAAAGTGGTGTTCTGGTGTCCCCCATGACAAGTGGAGATAGTAAAACTACACTTTCTTAATGTGGTGTCAGTGAAGAACATCCATTTCAATCCCATGGCTAGAGAAAGACAGATGTAGTACTTGTGTGAAAATAATTCTAAGGACAATTCTGTTAGGACTGTGAAAATGACAGTTCCCTTAACTTCTTTACACACTGTCGTAGCAGGATTGAGTTAAAGCCAAACAAACATCTGATTCTTGCTTTGAATACCAGTTGATTGACTGCTGTTATAAACCATTTAATGGGACTCATATTCAAAAGACAGCTGAAAGACTGTCTGTCTCATTTTAGCATTCTGAGACGTCAGTAACAAGACAAGTTCAAGAATAAGGACTTAAACAAATGTTTTGAAAAAACATTTTCAGTATCTACCAAACATGGCACTAATCAGTTTTTATTTGAATGAGCTGTTTACCAAATTCCTTAATCAGATACATATTCCAAAATATTCTTATATATGTTTGTGAACAGTGGAGCCTCAATTTCACCTAAATGAAAAATTTCATACAACATCATATAATCTTGTAATTTCCCTTTCTTTAAACATTTGGATGCACATAACTAATATTTGAATGTACAAACATGAACAGAAGACATTAGTTATATACACAAATATAAACACGAGACATGCATAACAAGGTAATAAATATGATAATATATTTAGATAGACAGATACATATAAATATATCTCACTTTGGTTTGGACTGTTCTGGATTTTGCAATAGTGTTGACACTAATTTAAACAAATATGCTACACTTTCTTTAACTCTGTACTGCTTTTGATTTGCTTTGTAACAGTAAGCTAAATAAAGGTGGCCCTAAGCGCAAACAAAAGCATGAACAGCAACTGGAATTTTCAAGTGCCTAAGGTGTTTAAAGTGTTGGCTAAGTATCTAACCACAAGTCCTCAAACAGTCCTCAAGACGAGTGAGCACTTCCACCAGCAATACTGCAGCACAGGAAAACAAGTTACCTCAAGGCAGAAACCAAATCATCACCAAAGCCCTACATGGAGACCTGGAAGCAGCACCAACTTTGTCTCCACAATGGTGTTTTATAGCATTAAGAATGAAATTATTCAGATATTGAAAAACAGCTGAAAAACAGCAGGTGAGGCACCATGTTATAAATGGGTTACACAAAGCATAACCAGGTATAAGCTGCTTATTAATCAGGTATAATTTTTATGATAATGAAAAAAACCCCAAAACGATATGTGTTCAGGAAAAATGGAGTACAATGCATTATTCACATGTATATCTGTCAATTAAGTCTTTGAAAGCTGGATCTTTCCATCAAAATTAACTCAACAAGAAGAGGAGGTGCCTGAATTAGAATTTTCCTTTATTTTATGCTCACCTTTAAAGGTTTTGCAGAATTTGGGGATAGACACAGTACCTTCATAAAGTCTTCATATTCTTGAGATTTCTTATTCCTTAACAATGTATCTTCATAACAAACAGAAGTTTTCATCTTTTTTTAGGTTTCTTAGTCCTTGAAGATGTATCTTCATAACAAATAGAAGTTTTTATCTTTTTGAGATTCCTTATTAGTTAAAGATGAAGAGAGGTCCTTCCTTTAAAACTGTCCACACAAGTAAAAGTTCCAGTGAAGATGTTTCAATTTGGCTATTTGGAGTGGCAACAGTCTTGGAAGATATCCCTGATGTTGCATGTTTTGTTCTTTCTGAGGCTATGATCATTCTTCATAATGAGTATTTTCATTACTAAGGCTAGTAATGAGTGGGAGTGGGAAGTTGGAGTGAGAAACATTAGATCCACAGAATAATTTGCTTGTTGGAATGATTTCTGGTCAATTTAAATTTTTTTAATATTTCTGGTTACTTTCAGAAATCTGGAAAATGTTGCAAGGTATACGAGAACAAATTTATCATAGCCTTTAAGTAAGCATTTTATTGTTGAGGGTCCTTGTAAAAGATTTTTTACATTTCTTTCCTATAATTAAAGATCTATACAAGAACAGATGTTCTCTTTTTCTTAAGTAGGTCACAGTTAAGACTTCGCTTTATGAAGATTTATGAAGACTGTCCATATTCTTGTTGAAATGGAGCTATTGCTCATTGAAAACATACTAAAGACAGTTTTGCTCTATTTCTAAACTTCTATTTATAAAGAAAAAAGACAAAGCTAAGTCTTCACATGAACTTTTCGTATGTATTTCAGTATCTCATTGTCTTCCAACACCATTACATTCAACCTTTGACATGGCTGCAGAAAAAAATTATCCCCAAAACATAACCCCCAAGCTGTACCAATATAAGGAATCAAAAATACAAACTGACCGCCAAACACCATGACCTGTTCCTGGCTATAAATCTTGCCTTTTAAGACTCACCTCTAACATGAAATATATAAAGAATGAGCCTAATTAGGACAGGTGAAAAAAGCAATTAATACAAAAACTTTTGCATTTTTCTGCATTGCTACTATTACATCTTCCCATGTTGTATGATTTCTTAAAGATCTGCAGGTATAGGAGTGGCATTTGTAAAGATATTCCAAACACATTACACAATATATTCCCAGATTTAAAGGGGCGACTGCATTTAAGAAAAAGTCCTCAACATTCTCTTGTTATTCCACTTAGCATTTTAAGTCATGTTCTTAATATGATTAATAGCAGCCCCAAGATCCACTATCAGCTAGTGGGAAGTAACCATCACAGAGGCATTTATCGTACATGCCATTTTGCCATAGTCTCTCAGTCCACAGACCTCCCATGTTTACCATCTGAAGTTCCAGCTATACACAACTTGTGGCAGAAATGAATATTAATCATAGGGGTGTGAAGCTTCTGTTCAAATAAAGCAGCAGGACACAACTGTGATTTCTAGCATTGTACTGATCTAGGCAAGGCGCCTGTACAATATTTAAAGTCCTGATGGGATGCTGAATGGGTCTTATGAAATCTGTTGTATCACTGAAATCTCTCTGTACATGAATATAGTCCAAGTAAGGTCACATCTCTGCCAAGCCAGAGACATTTCACCTAGCTTTAATCATCTATAATTATCGTATCTAATCCAATTTAGTCACACAGGCTGTCTTCATAGTAAACAGAGAGATGAGCAGCCCAGGAGAGTGATCCATCTAACTTACTTTGAACACTCATTTTAGAATGAGAAATGGAAATGGATTCCGGGGATGGATAGATGAACATAAACTTTAGCTGTCAGAAAGAAGCAGTGCAGAGTGCTTCTGGAGGGCCAGGGTTGAAAGACAGACTTCTGTCAGACTCTATGGGTATTATTACAAGAATCGCCTAACACAGACTTCAGAAAAAAAATGGCTTTTCAGGCATACAACTTAGAGACATAATGATATATATATAAAAAAAATGTACTTACCAAAAACAATAGAGGACTCACAGTAGTAGTAACCATTTGGTTGCTTTTTTTTCAACATGGAGCAAAGATCTAAGCGGTGCAGGATTTCATTTCCAAAATAATGGCTTTTAAAATCTTCATACAGGTTTGGGTCAATTTTTTTCACCTTTAAATAGTAACATAAAATTCAAGTAGGCATTCTACTAGAAAACTGATTTTTTGTGTTTAATCCCTATAGTTTTCATTTTAAAAGGAGGTATAGGTAAGATGGAAAACTACCTCAAGATGCAAAATAATACTGAAACAATAATGTGACAAATCTTATGTTTAAGTACTGTCCACTGTAGAATTAATAATATTAAATAAAACTGTCATTCTACCTCCTTTCTACCCCTCCCTCCTCAGTCTTGTAGGAAACAAATAAACATAAATGCTACAACTGCTTTAACTTCCAATGGCTTGCAACATTCTTCATGGAACATGTAACTGGAAATTATTCTTGCTGTCATCACTGGACATGCTACTAGAAGGAAGAATCTCAAATGCTTGTGAAGGCCATTTTTCTGGGTCTTTAAAATCGCCAAGCAGGATAAATACAACCAAAATGTGATTGTATTTAACTTGCACTAGACTTTATCTCAACAAATCTGAAAATATGCAGTGATTTATAATATCAGTATAATTATGTGGGTTTGTATATATGAAGTGGAACATAATATTCAGTTAAGCTGGTTTTTGGTAAACCTAACTTCAGTATTTAAGTGCGTAGGGCTCCTTCTTCCATCATATTTTCATTAAAAATACATGAGCTCTGTAGAAAAAGTATTTTCTCCTTCAATCTACTTCACAGTAATGATGTTTGCTTTTTAAAGACTTACTATATGCTATGGGATGTTAGGAGTGACCACTGCCTCCAGCAGCTCCAGCCCAGGCTGTGTCAGACTACTGCACCCATCAGCCCCATTTTACACAGGACCAGCCTCTTTTACTGACAGTTCTGTCCACTCCTCATTTGTTCCTCCCCATCCCCTACCCCTATACATGCCACATCCATTTGCAAATACCCTGAACCCTCAGCTTTACATCCCCAACAGCTGCAAAGTCCTGCTTTGCTTGTGGTTTACTGACAGCCCATCAGTGTGACTGATGAGGTTTGTTTCTTGGTTTTGTGTGTTGCGTTTGACAGGGTTTTGTCTCTCCATTTTGTTTATGGCTTCCCCTTCACCCTTACTGTCTTATTTGAGAAGGTCTGCAACCAAACAATCCTACAGAAATAAACATCCCCACACTCCACATGCTCTCATCAGCCCATGTGGCAGACCAGCTCTGGCTCATTACTGCTTCCTTCATTGTATGCTGGTGAGGTTTGTGTCACTGTATATGCTGTTTAAGGTCTTCTTTTCTTATTATCCCCTCTTGCACTTAGAAGGTCCTTTCCAGTCACCCTAAAGGGTACAGATGCTGTCTCCTTCCTCATACCCTTACGCTATATCCATTTATCTGAACATCATCACACTCACGCATTTCTTGTGGTGCTTTATTTACAGTTACTCTTACACAAGATAGGCTCAGTGTTGTTATGCCTACGGAGCTTCTACTTAGGTACAAAATTACTGACTTCAGAGGCACTTTTCTTGAGTAAGTACCTGCCTATTTGCTCCTCTACTAATTTAGAAAGTCTAATTTAGAGACTTTCGGTCCCCTTTAACAAATTAGACTTTTGGTCCCCTAAAGTCTAAGTTAGCGAAGGTCAGAAAAGTCTTTCCGTTTCCTTAATCTCTGAAACGGTGACATCTAGTGGTAGATGCTTTTCATTTCGGGTACACAATCTTGGAAGCACACATTTATTCCATCCTCATTGTCATTACTTAAAATTTGATATTCTGTGGCTAGATTAGTCCTTATGTACTCAACTTATTCTGACATTAAATCATCATTCTTTGCCTGGTTTGGCTGACATTTCTTTAAATACATTTATACACACATTAGTAATAAAAAAGGCCTTTTCAGCCAGCAGAACACTTGTCAAAAATGTGAAGCCTTGAGTAGCATGGAACAAAATGAGGAAAATACCAAAATCACTCCAATAAAAAAATACTATTTACGAGAAGTTGTGATATTGCTTGTCAAAAACTGGTAAGGTGTGAATCAAATGCTGAATGCTCAAGATCCGAGTTATGCTTGTGCTACTGAAAGATATTTGGAAAAGCAGCCATGGCAAAACTGTACTATTTTTAGCAACTCAGAGCAATTTCTCGAGCACTGTTTGTAATGAAATGTGAAAGGATGAAGTAATGCAGGTGCACGGGGAAGTCACAGTTCATTTCTTAATTGAAAGGGTCTGGCACAATACAGATGAAAGAGAGTTGCTGTTACAACATGGGAAAGCTATAGATGATGATATGCTGTAGTTGGGGGAGGGTGAGAAACAAGAGTACTTGAGAGGCCACTGTGAAGCTGGAAGGGAGAAAGAAGACACCTGCCTCTTGAGGAAATGTTATAGTGAATGGATACCTTTAAAGGGACATGGCTATGTCTACTCTCAGTCTGAGCCTCTCTGTGTGCAAGAAGGTAGGTGCAGCCTGCTGTCCCTGGCCTGCAGTTAAACCCTCCAGCTGCATGGACTGCCCATAGCTGCTGACAGCAGGTGGCCAGGCAGTGTTCACCCCTTCATGGGACCTGGGGCAGGAAGGCTCAAGTGGTGACAGGCCTTACACAGCTGGAAAGCGAGCCACCCAACATCCTCCTGGCAGCAGCTTCAGTTTAAACGTACCAGACACCACAGCCAAAATTCCCAGCTTCAGCACCACACATCCAGCTCTCTGAAGGCAAGGAGCTGCACATGAAGATTCATTTAGAGCTGCTTGAAGTAGCCATGGGTCCCACCAAGTGCTGGCAGGCAATGCAGATGCCAAGTGGGAGGGGATGTGTGGCGTTCCTTGCTGGCAGCACGCTTGGGCGGCTCATGGGGCTTCTTCCAACCACCTCCTCTCCCTTCTGCGCTCAGCACAGGGCTCCAAAGAGGCTGGGAAGGAGGTAGTGAGCTGCTCGCAGGGATGGGCAGGGGCTGGAGCTGAAGCTCAGAAGGTGAGCTGGGAGGCCCCAAGTGAGGCCGAAATTCCATTCACCCCATGTCGGCAGAGGCTTGCTGCCATGGGCCCCGGCCGCGGGGGGGCGCCTAGGCGGCTAAGGCAGCGCGGCAGGGCCGCGGGGGCGGGGTCAGCGCCACAGCGCGGAGCTTTCCTGACAGGGCCCGGCGGCGGGGAGCCTAGCGCCCTGAGAGCCGAGAGCCGCCTCGGAGCGGGAGGGGAAGGTGGGCAAGGTAAAACCTGCTGGCCGCAAGGAGGCGCAGCAGCCGAGTCGAGCAGCCCGGCTGTGGTGAGGAGGGTGAGCGGAGTGGGAAAAAAGTGGGTGAGGGTTGTAAGGAGGTTGCTGACTGCGATATGGATTCCATAGGGAAAACTGTTCAGCATGTTTGATCCCTGCAGCTTGATCTATACAAGTTATGAACGTGTATAGAAACTGGCACTATGTGATGGTGCTGCATAAATCCTGCGGTAGGACCCTGAGAAACAGTTTCTGTGGGTGTATTGTGAGGAGCACAGGTCAGCACACATAGGTGCCCTGTACCTCCGAGGGAGGATAATTTTGGATGTGGATGTACATGTACATTACTGTATTTATTGGTATTTAGGCATATATATGCTTAGACAAATAATGGATAAAACCCCCCCCAAAAAACAAACGAACTCTTCCAGCATTGCTGGTAGTTAGCTCAGTTACACCTTGCTTGGAAGCAAGATGGCTTCCAAGTAGTTACTGGCTGCATCTTTGCACTCGAACAGGTAACATGTATCTTTAATTGCAGGTAGCATCTCTATTACTCGAGGGATGAAAAAGAGTGAGTGCTAACCTGCTGTCATCAGTTAGTTACTTCTCAGGACTATTTGGATGAGTTACGAATAAATGACTGCCACATCAGCCATGAACTGTGCCTTGCCACAACTGCCTGGGCCCGAACAAGAGGACCAAGAGTGCTCTGAGACACACATGTCTGTTATGTGGTATGCAGGGCAGCTTGCAATTACTTATTATGATACAGAAGATTGCTCAATCTACTTCATGCCTGACATACCTGATAATGAAGACCTTAGGCTACTGCAAAAAGTAATTGAGGAAATTAATCCTCGGTGCATAGTGACCAGTGCAAAACAGGATCAGAATATTGCCAAATTCCTGACCAACCTTACTGCTGGTGGTACAGACATACGAAAACCAGAAACTGTCCTTTTTCCTAACATAGATTTTGGCCTAGAAGTCAGCAAGCAACGGATCCTATCTAGGCAATTTCCATTCATCCCATCTCATATGACTGCAACAGAGAAAATTCTCTACTTGTCCTCAGTCATCCCTTTTGAGAGCCCACTTATGATACGAGCCCTAGGGGGACTCCTGAAGTTTCTAGACAGGAGAAGGGTTGGAGTTGAGCTTGAAGAAAGCTCTACTGCAGTTCCTATTCTGGCCTTTAAAAAGTTTGTGCTGTCAGAGATTGTGAATATGGACCAAGACACTTACAGTGTCCTGCAGATATTTAAAAGTGATATCCATCCTTCAGTGTATAAGCTGTCCAGTGGATTAAAAGAAGGATTCAGTTTATATGGAATTTTAAACCGTTGCAGATGTAAGTGGGGAGGAAAACTGCTGAGGCTGTGGCTCACACGACCTACTCGGAACTTGACAGAGCTGAACAAAAGGCTAGATGTTATCCACTTCTTCCTGCAGGCTCAGAATCATGAAACAGTCCTCACTCTTCAAGGCTGCCTCAAGAATATTAAAAATGTGCCTCTTATTCTAAAAAGAATGACTCTTTCTCACACAAAAGTTACTGACTGGCAAGCACTCTATAAGACAGCTTGCAGTGCGGTATGTCTTAGAGATACGTGTCGCTCTCTGCCCAACACTATTGAACTCTTCCAGACTATTTCACGTGTTTTCACTGACGATCTGCACTACATTGCTAGTCTAATCAGCAAAGTGGTGGACTTTGAAGGCAGCATCTCAGAGAGCCGCTTCACTGTTAAACCCAATGTGGACCCCACCATTGATGAGAAGAAACGAAAGCTGATGGGCCTGTCAGACTTCCTTACAGAAGTGGCACGAAAAGAA